CCCATTTGAGCGTTTCCAAGTAGGTTTTAACGGATTTGGCAACATGAGGCCGAGCGTTGTCATGCAGTAGAATCACTTTTTCGTGCCTCTGCTCGTATTGTGGCCGTTTTTCGCGCAATGCTCGGCTCAATCGCATCAATTGAATTTGATACCGTTTCCCAGTGATGGTTTCGTTCGGTTTCAACAGCTCATAATAAATAACACCGACCTGGTCCCACCAAATACACAGCATAACCTTTGCAGCGTGAATATTCGGCCGAGCCGACGACGTAGAAGCATGACCGGGTAGTTCCCATGACTTTCTTTTCTTTGGGTTGCTGTAATGAATCCATTTTTCATCACCCGTCACGATGCGATGAAGAAAACCCTTCCTTTTTTGCCGCTGGAGCAGTTGTTCACAGGCGAAAAAACGACGCTCAACGTCCCTTGGCTTCAAATCATAAGGAACCCAAGTTCCTTGCTTTTGAATCATTCCCAACGCATGCAATCGCTTGGAAATGGCTTGGCGGGTAACTCCTAATGCTGAAGCAAGCTGTTCTTGCGTTTGGCACGGATCCTCATCGAGCAATGCCTCCAATTCAGCGTCTTCGAAAGTTTTTGGCCTTCCTTCACGCGGACGGTCGTCAACATCGAAATCATCGTCTTTGAAGCGACGAAACCAATCACGGCACGTTGTTTCACTTAGAGCAGCATCTCCGTAAACTTTTTGGAGCTCTCGATGCGCTTCAGCCGCCATTTTCTTCGAATGAAATAAGAAAATCAACACTTCCCGCAAATGACGATTTGGCACAAAATCAGACATTTTCACACAACCAAAAGTATATGATGCCAAAACAAAATCACTAACGTGTCAAAGCGGTTTGTTTACCATATGTCTAAGCTTGGTTCATGACGTTTTAGATATGTCAAAATCGACCAGCACTTACTGCTGGAGTCATCTATTGACAAACAGCGGGAACTTAGTTGCGCACCTAATATATCTAGTTACATTTTATTTCATATCTGTATCTAAATTTATCATTTCAGATACAAATACGAAATAAAATGCAATTTTGGTGATTTTATATATAATTGTTATTTTTTCACAAGAGACAAAGTTGCTTCCATGGTGTAAGAATATAAGGTGATACATTCCGGTGGATGCGCAGTAGCTACCAATCAGAAAGTTTCCACAAATGCGAAAAACCCAATGGCTCTCATCAGACGTAACGTTAACATATTTTGTGGTAACTTTCTGATTAATTCTACTCCCACCTCCATAATGCGCAATGAAACACTTTGGCCGCGTTCTGTTTCACGTATATGCGCGCATTTATCTACAGTTCATATCACGTATACAGTAGAGAATGCGCGCATAATATGTGAAACAGAACGCAACCCTTATATTCTTACACCATGGTTGCTTTATTAGGAGCGTTCAGCGAACTTGACTGTTACACAACAGTTGAATAATTTGTCAATATAACTGGTCTAGATTTAGGGATCTAAAGTAAGAAACCTAACAGTAAGAACCAATAATCGCTGATTGCTCATTGAGCGCTTTTTCCGCTGAACGCGTCCATTGGGTGTATTCAGTATTACAACCGCTCATTGAGTGCTCAGTGAGCTCTTGTATTCCATTGGCATATTCTTTTAGATCTAAAAATATGTACCAATGAAATGTAAGAGCTTACTGAGCGCTCCGTAATCAAAATATTTGAAAAGTATCTGAAGAGATACATCCTAAAAGTATATGTATCTACATCTAGTTATTCATATGAAATTCGTATCTGTATCTTCATCTAGCTACATTTTTCTTACTGTATCTGTATCTATATCTAGCTACTTCAAAACATGTATCTGTTACAACACTGTATATATATTACGGGAACATTGTAACAAATATTCTTTTGAAAATTGCAAAATTAGAAATACATTGCGAAATGTTGCTGCAATATTATTATTCTGAGATTGCAGTAGCAAGAAAATTTCAGAAATTTTGCGATGCAACAATACGTAGCAACATTGTAACATAATATATATTTAGTAAAATTTTTTATATATACATGTCAGCATAATAGCTTTAAGCCATTAGTATTTTAGAATATATAAATTTCTTTTAAAAAGTTTTACAATAGTCTTCATAGTTAAAAACTATTATATTGACAGATGTATGATAGTGTAAGGTACTTGATTTTTAGAAACTTTGAAGTATATATTTAGTAAAATTTTACTAAATATATATTATGTTACAATGTTGCTACGTATTGTTGCATCGCAAAATTTCTGAAATTTTCTTGCTACTGCAATCTCAGAATAATAATATTGCAGCAACATTTCGCAATGTATTTCTAATTTTGCAATTTTCATATGTTGTTTAACATAGTTGTTTAACACAACTTGTATGGTAAGTGCATTAATAGTGTCCTTTCTCAGTATGCAAAAGGTGTAAACGTGTACGCCATCTCTAGGCTCCCGACGCGTATCTTTTCAGAATATGTATTATGAAATTCTTTAGAATCAATCTCGACCGAAATATCTTCGTTATTCTCTAAATTTCTATTCTAGGGAAAACGAAATTATTCCGATCGGAATCGATTTCGAAAAGTTCCATAATACGTGCCTAGAGAATGAATCTATGGACTCGGTATATTCAGTTTTCCAGATAAATATGTATCGGAAGCTTATAAGTGACATATACGTCAACATCATTCTAGAGTCTAGAAATAATAATTTGATCTACGTTATTTCATTTTTTACTAGTTTGATACAGAATATCGGAACTAGCCAGTAAGCAAATTGAGCGCAGACTGCGCGCAGATTGGCAGCAAATTTAATCAAAAACCCACAGCAAAACCATAGCCATCTGTGTCTACATTAGGCTACGGTTTTGGCGACAGATCTTGCTGTCGG